TATATATATATATATATATATATATATATAGAGAGAGAGAGAGAGAGAGAAAGAGACAGACAGACAGAAAGACAGACAGAGCGAGAGAGAGTGATTCCTCGGGTTAAGTCCGTCGTTTCGAGTTAAGTCATGCAACGTTTTTTTCTTGAATATTATATTTAAATACATTTAAAAATAATATTATGTATACTATATATATATATATATATATATATATATATATATATATATATATATATATATAAGCCTTTTTTTTAATTTTTGGTCTTATGAATTGGATCATGATTACGATTCTAATGCCTTTTATATTATATTCTTACTCTGTCCTGAACATTGAGCTCGACCTGGATTCTATGCTCTTGGAAAGATAGATAGATAGATAGATAGATAGATAGATAGATAGATAGATAGATAGATCATTAATATTACATATATATATATATATATATATATATATATATATATATATATATATATATATAATAATAATATCTGCAAAAACAAATAATAGTATAATAAAATATATTCAGCAGATTTCTTATTTCAAATTCCTGCCGACAGACGGCACTTGTGCTTTGCTTTGTGCTCCAACACCAATTTTCAATTCAGACTTGTTTACAACAATGTTTTCCCGTTAACGTTCTTTCAGTTACATTTCACTTGTGATTTAGAATATATTTTTGTTCCAGTGCATGTGCTAATGCTAAGCGTAAGGCTATATCGCTGGAAGTTAAGGTGGAAATTAATTATTTTATTCAGAATACTGTACGTACATCTCATAAAAGTCAATTGGGGTTTATAATGTGGTTATTTTGACTTAAGTCCTTTTTCGATCTAAGTCGTGATCTATGGAAACAATTAACGACGTATGGGGAGGTAAAGCTGTACTAGTTTCAAAGCCACCCTATCGGGCGACATTTAAGCTAGCTCCTGCGGACGACTCTTGATTGGTTCTTTGGCTTATTCAGGTGTTTGAGAGTCCCTTAGTCTTGGTATATTTTCAGCAGTGGAAGCTCTCTTGGCTGCCGTTTCATCTGGGTGTAGATTTGCACGGGACTTTCTTTCCCTCGCTGCAGCCTTCGCTTTTTTTTTATTGCAATACAGTCCTCTGTTGACGGAGATTTCTTTTTGCGAGGCATGCTGCTGCTGTCTGTGATAGGCAACAATGAACCACAGAACTCAAAATTGATTGCTGCATTTAAGTATTGCATTTAAAATTTAAGCTTACCTTTTAAGAGTTTAACGATAATTCTTCTGTCGCCACTTAATTTAATGACAATTTGATGTGCGTAGATCCTTACAATTATTTTTATTTCATGGGTGGTTTCCGTTGGAATTTTGTAATTTCGATTATTCCCAAAGTTATTTCCACGTTATAATTTTTTTTATCTTACAAAGAAAATTTCGCAGTAATGAAAAAGTGGGAATCCAAAATTTCTGTAACATGAGCTATTGAAAATAAGAGAGTTGTGTCCCTTTAATTGAAAAAGTGTGATACTGGGGGACCTGGCGTTTTCATTTATATATAGATATCAATTTAAGTAAAATACCTTCTAATTATTCGTAGTAAATAGCCGTAGTTGATTAATTTCTTACGAGCAGTCAAGACAATTACTTTAATGATATGAACAATTGGATAAGCTTAAAAAGAGTTTACAAAGAAAGTGCTGGCACGTTTTATAAGAAGCTATGAATTAAAATGAAGATAAATACTAAAAGGTCACAAAAGTTTAGGAGAGATATACATCGAGGAGAACTGTAGTTATTCTGGAGAGCAAGGCGGAGAGCGAACGCCCAGAAGGAGGGAAATCAATGTGGCAATCAGCCGAAAAATTGGAGATGAAATTCAGTCGATAGTTTCCACGAAATGCAGGTATTATTATTCAAATTTCACTTCTTCCTGTAATTATCGTAACGGGCCAAAAGGCTTTAGAATTTGAATAATTTTGAACTGGAATTTCCTGGGCGACCAAATAAGTTTTGAAATCTCGATTATATCAATGTTTAAACTCTTTTATCAGTAGCAGAAAAGAAACAAAAATTGTAAATAAACAAATCTTTTATGCGCCGTATCACTTTAGAACGTGGGTGATCATGGATCTCCACAATTCTTTGTAAAAATAAACAATGCTTTGTTCTCTTACGATTCTTTCCAGCTCCTGTTCTGCTATTGATTTACGCAAGCTCCCCTTCTGTCTTAGTGGCTTTATTGCCTTTATTAGTGTGAAATTATCAAAATAAAAAATAAAAGAATAAATATTCATAAGTAAAGTGTATACTTAATAACAAATTTTATATTACGGATATTATATAAATATATTTATATACTTATTAGACTATTCTGTTAGGCATTAAACTCTGTTATACCTTAATATCTATTCTATTGTAATAGACTCTCCCACGGATAATAAGTAGTAGTAGCAGTGGCCAGTTGGGCTCAGTGGTGTTGAGCGAGTCAGTCTATATCGGAGATTGGAGTATCAACCATCACAACTAGATTGCTGCGTCATTAACTCTTATTTCAAGTTCCTAACGTTTTGTACGTCGAACCTAATTTAGGACGACTTAGTGAAATACAAGCCTCCATGGTGAAAACCACTGTACAACACACTCCAAGCAAGGCAATGAAGACGCAACAGGTTACTGAGTGCTAAAGAATACCGGGTAAAATACTAAGGAGAGCGTCAAATTTGATCTTCAAAAATTTAAATGTAATATCAATCTTTATCTTCTGTCTTCTTGATTACTCTTCTATTGTTCTCGATTCTTCAAAAAAAAAAAAAAAAAAGAACCGGGAATATTAAAATCAAACAAGAAAGAATAACAAAACAAGCCATATATTCGATACAGAAGCAATCACATTTAGAATTCTACATTAAAATATTAGAGATTATACACCGTTGTACAAATTAAATGAAACAACCGCTTTAGTTTCCTGTCTTTCACCTTACGGTCAAATTTATCTACTGGGGTAACAGGGTGTAATCGATTTCTATTTTTTCCTGAGATTAGGTCATTTGCAGTGGTGTGCAGTAATATGAATCTATTTTCGAGATGTATGATGAAATTGGTTTGTCCTTGAAAAATATTATGTCATCCGTGATTGCATCAGATTTTTATCACGCCCAGACACTATTGTCTCAACTGTCAATTAGTTGTCCTACGGCCATTTTCTGCGATGGACGTTACTCCAACGAAGCGTACGAAAATTGCAACGCTGCACGAACACACTGGCAAGCCTTAACAGTGATCAAATCAAAGTACTAAATACTGGTGCGGAAAATCTCCTGTTTTAAATCCAATCGAGAATCTATGGTCAGTCTGCCATGAACGACTTCGTGGAACGGACATACGAAGTACTAACATGTGCACTGGGTCATGTTTCATTAGAAAAATATGAAAATAAAGTAAATAATAACGGAATAATTTTCTTTGAATTAATTTGCGCAAGGGTGTATTTGTCTATATTTCTGAGATGAGGTATTTTAACAGCTTACACTGTTTACATTGGTCTGACTGATATCCTTATCTTTGTTGTCAGATTAAAGACGTTTCTGCCGTTGTATGCTCCGGTCTTCTTCAGGATCTGTCTATATTTCTGAGATGAAGTATTCTATTTACACTGTTCGGACTGTTGTCCGAATAACACAACTAACTCAACTCTCAAAGTTTGTTGTTCACCTCTGTTGTGGCCAGGAATTGAACTCAAAACTCTTTTGGTCAAGTCACTGGATTACGTCAACCTACACTTTTACCCACTGGGCCATGGTGTCCCTGGAGAGTTGAGTTACTAACGGGAAATAAACGAAACTGAGATATTCGGAAGACTACTCTGGTGGACGAAATAAAGGTTTCGATTAGAAATTCCAATAACCTGATGAAGGCCGGAGTTGCAATGGCCGAAACATCGCGAATATGAAAACAAACGTAAAGACAACAGTCCGAACCACGTAAATAGTTATCTTCTGTTTTCATAATTCTTTTATTAATCTCCCTCCATAATAGTATTTTTCACATATTTGCTAGCATTCAGTAAAACATTGCATCTTAGTGACTTTATTACCTTACTTGGTAGTGAATACTATTTTCTGTGTTCATATGGATTTCTCCTGTTTCTTAATATTTTGTTTGTTAGGATCCAAGCTTTGGGCAAATAGTTAAGCCCAAAACTGGGGTCAAAACACAATGAAAGCATTTTTATAAAAATAATAAGCATTTGTAAGCATTTTTATAGTAAAAATTCTAGCAATACATTTTCATAGTAAAATAATTATCATTAATAAGTTTTTGTAAAAAAAAATAAAAATAAAAATTACCAGCAATACATTTTTTTTTATAAAAGAAATTAACGCTCCGAAGAAAATTAAATTTCAGCATTAAAAGACCCATAAGGTGTTGATATGTCGCTAAGCAAACAAACTGTTCAGTCTTGTGTTGGCTGAATTTTAGAGCATAAAATTCAAAGATTCATTTGATGACCTACAAGGATACCTGAAGGTCACGTGTCTTTCGAATCTTTACATTCAATATCTCAATAAATTACACTATATTGTTTTTCTTTCCTTCCATTTTTCACGAAGACAACACATTATTGTTAAAGGATTTAGCGGCAAAACTGCAAGTGTTCCTTTTAATAAATTTTACACAATGCACTTAGGATATCAAAAATGATACATTTTTTTTAATGATAAATAACATCTATTATTATTGATTTTGAGCTTCAGGTCAGGCATGATCAGCTGATCGATATGTTCAACTTACTAAGCTAAGAGTTCAACGCGGACCTAAAACGTAAGCCGAAAATATTGCGTCTTCTTTTTTGTGTTTCTTTTTCAAAAGAACACAAAATACTTTATTTGAGGATAAAAGTCGATCTTACACAGGAAAAAAAGTTAACTAAAACGATATGCATCCGGCATAAATAACTAAATAAAAAATATGCCCTGTAAAAATATTTTAATATATATTTTACCAGTGCAAGTTGATCAATTGATAGATAGCTAGTAACTGAGTGAGATAGATAGATAGATAGATAGATAGATAGATAGATAGATAGATAGATAGATACTGACTGACATAGAAATATGACTGAGATAGATAGTAACTAATTGAGATAAATAGATATTAACTGACTGAGATAAATAGAAACTGACTGAGATAGAAATATATATATATATATATATATATATATATATATATATATATATATTAACTGGGATATTAATAGTGTGAGAGAGAGAGATAGAGAGAGAGATATACATACAAAAATAAAAGATATTAACTGACTGGGATAGAGAGTAAGAGTGTGTGAGAGAGATAAATGCATACATACATACATACATGCATAATAGATAGATATTAACTGAGATAGATAGAAAGATAGATAGATAGATACTAACTGACTTAGATAACAGTGTGTCAGCGAGAGATCGATACATACATACATAAAAGATAACTGACTGAGAAAGATAGTAACTGAATGAATAAATAAATAGATAGTAACAGTTGGATATAGACAGTACCTGAGTGAGATACATATAGATACATAGATATTAACTGACTGACATACATAGTAACAGTGTGAGAGGGTTAAATACATACATACATACATCATAAATTTCGTTTATCAAATTTCACTTTAAATGCTTGAGTCAACTTCAGGAACTTTTCAAACCAAGAACCAGAACGCTTTTCTGACCATAGAACCCGGGTTCTATGGTCAGAAAGCGAACCTTCTAACCACCCGGCCACATGCCAGACCGCCCATCCATAGTAACTGAGTGAGTGAGTGAGTGAGATAGATAGATAGATAGATAGATAGATAGATAGATAGATAGATATTAACTGAGTGAGATATATAGTAACTGCGATATATAGATATAGATAGATAGTAAATGAGATAGATCGATAGTTAGATAGCAACTGCTGAGATATATATAGATCGCTAGTAACTGATAGATAGATATATAGATAGATAGATAGTAACTGACTGAGGTATATAGATAAAGATAGATAGTAATTGAGTAAGATAGATAGATTGATAGATAGAAAGTAACTGCGTGAGATAGATAGATTTGAACAGATATAGATAGATAGATAGATAGATAGATAGATAGATAGATAGATAGATAGATAGATAGATATTAACTGACTGAGATAGATAGAAACTGAGTGAGATATATAGTAACTGCGATATATATATAGATAGATAGTAAATGAGTGAGATAGATCGATATAGATAGTAACTGATAGATAGATATATAGATAGATATAAGACTGAGGCATATAGATAAAGATAGATAGTAATTGAGTAAGATAGATTGATAGATAGAAAGTAACTGCGTTAGATAGATAGATTTGAACAGATATAGATAGATAGATAGATAGATAGATAGATAGATAGATAGATAGATATTAACTGACTGAGATAGATAGCAACTGAGTGAGATATATAGTAACTGCGATATATAGATATAGATAGATAGTAAATGAGTGAGATAGATCGATAGTTAGATAGCAACTGCTGAGATATATATAGATCGCTAGTAACTGATAGATATATAGATAGATAGTAACTGACTGAGGTATATAGATAAAGATAGATAGTAATTGAATAAGATAGATAGATAGATTGATAGATAGAAAGTAACTGTGTGAGATAGATAGATTTGAACAGATATAGATAGATAGATAGATAGATAGATAGATAGATAGATAGATAGATAGATAGATAGATAGAAAGATGAGATATATAGTAACTGATATATAGATAGATAGATAGTAAATGAGTGAGATAGATCGATAGTTAGATAGCAACTGCTGAGATATATAGATAGATATATAGATAGATAGTAAGATGAGTAAATAAAGATAGTAATTGATAGATAGATAGATTGATAGATAGAAAGTAACTGCGTGAGATAGATAGATTTGAACAGATATAGATAATAGATAGATAGATAGATAGATAGATAGATAGATAGATAGATATTAACTGACTGAGATAGATAGCAACTTGAGTGAGATATATAGATAGAAAGATAGCTAGATAGATCGATAGTTAGATAGATGAGATATATATAGATAGTAATGATAGATAGATATATAGATAGATAGATAGTAACTGACTGTATATAGATAAAGATAGTTAGTAACTGAGTAAGATAGATAGATTTGAACAGATATAGATAGATAGATTTAAACAGTCATAGATAGATCGATAGATAGATAGACAGTAACTGTCTGGTAGTGATAAAGTAACCTTTTCATATTTTCTTCTACAATGTTCACTGTATTGTATTCTATCTACTTGAGTAATATCTAACAGCAAATTAGTTGCATTGACACAGAAGATACATTTGAAAACACAGAAGATATATATATGAAATATATATATTATTTAAAATATATATATTTATATATATATATATATATATATATATATATATATATATATATATATTCGTATATATATATATATATATATATATATATATATAT